AAACATCGGTACTGGGGAGACAAAGGCGGCCGGGCGTGGTGCTGGCCACCCTCACTCTCTTCGTGTGTTGTGCAGCCCTCACAAGTGCTGCTCGCTTAACAACACTCGCCCCGAACTCGCTGGGACGGCGACACGGGGGATCTTTGTCTGCGTCGCTGCCTGTCCATTTTGTGTTGTGGACGCTCGTGCAAGCGAGAGGCATTCCACCTCGAGGGATCACGCGTGGTGCGAGATTTTAATAAATGAATACATTCACAAGCCTACAAAACCCACAGAAATGTCCACCGGGCTTAAATCTCAATTTTAGTTTCCCCCCTGTTGACAAAAAATAAGAATTATTAAAGAAAATAACCCCCCCCCACCCCCCAGACCGTTTTAATTTCTGCTCGCTGGCCCTGTGTGCAACATCGCAGACGCAGCAGCAGCAGCGGTTTCATCGATGAGTCTGAAGCGGTCCCAGCGGCACACGCGGCCCACGGTGGAGCAAAGCAATCAATTAGCGACGCAGCCTCCTCCCGACGTCCCAATTAAGACCCCCGATGCCCCGCGGCGTTAATCGGCTTGGGAGGGGGGGGGCAGCTGCGTGGCGAGGGAGCGCAGCATAATGGGTGGCCGGGGACCGCCGGGCGCAGATGCCGCCGTGGGGGCGATGGCGCGCGCGCACGTGCAGTCGCGCGTCTCACCTGCACAAAGATCCCCCGTGTAGCCTGAACAGATTGTCGGGGCAAGTGCTGTTAGCGAGCACCTATAAAGGCTGGCACGGCACACGAACGGGCGGGTGGCCAGTACCACGCCTGGCCGCCTTTGTCTCCCCAGTGGCGATGTTTACTACGCACCGCACCAGGTACTCATTTCAAGCTGAGTCGACCTAGGGGAGGTCCAGGACCGGTTCAGATAAACAGCACCTGTGTTGACCGTGAGCGGGAATCGAACTGGGGCAGGCGGGTTCATAGCGCAGCGCGCTAACCGCTACACTAACCGCTCACCTGCACACAAACTCACGTGTGGTCGCCCGTCTCGCCGACACACGCACGCACGCACGTGCGCGCTCGCATCACACCTACGCACGCGCTTTTCCATGCGTATGTGCGTGCGTGGTTTTTCTCTGAGCATCTGAGGGGCATTCAGTTTCTCAGGTGCGATGGCAGTAATCTTGTGCAGGGAGCTCCTCGGGCTTCAGCAGAGAGAGAGCGGGATTGTGTCTCTTCCGCCTCCAGACTGCAGTGGCGTTCGCTGTGCGGCTCCATAGTTTGGGTTGCGCAGCCACGGTCGAACTCCTGTCCCTCACGCCGTTAATTGTCCATTCAAGATGTGTTGCGCATAGGCCTGGTAGTGATGTTCTCGATGCGGTTGATGGTTGACATCGGCGGCGTCGAGGAGGAATGCCCAAAGCCAGGGGGTGCGAAGATGTTTGTGTCTCGAATGAGGAGGTGCTTATTCTGAATGCCACTGCCCTTTTTGCCAAGGCCCCCGTATCGGCGTTAAGACGGTTAAGCACTAAAACGAGGTTCGTGGTATTTTCGCTCAACGATGCCTTGGCGTAGTACAGTGCAGTGACGTTGCCTAAGCACTTAATACCTGCTTTGCTACAAACTCGGCGTTTGACATCCTAATTGGCTTTGAAATGGGGCTCCAATATGGGGCTACCTCGCCTGGTGTATAGAAGGTTGTGGATTCGATCCCAAGCCTGATGACGCCTGCTGTATATTTGGAGTTGGCGTATTCTCTCCCCATAGTAACGTGGACTTTTTCTCCGTGTCTTCTGGTTTTCCCCTCCACATGAATAATCAACATGACACGTTGAGTCTTTGGCTGCTTTCAATTTCTGTGGGATGGTAAGCCACTTCGTTGGCCTATCGTTTGTGTAAGCCAGGTCGCTTCTGAAGTAGAGCTACTGTATAGCTCAATGGGGCCTTGCCTGTTAAAATAAAAAAAAATAGTTTTGTTTAGTTTGAAATGTCAACGATCGCCACCTGGAAGCAAAGATTTTGGCTCTGCAGCCAAAGTGGCCAGGCGACAGAGTGGGTTGGGGTGTCTTTTTTTGTTTAATCCAGATTTTATTGCAGAGAAGTAGTTGCCTTGTGATTGGCTACCTACCACTACTCAGGTAGCCCCTGCCACTACTCGGGTAGCCCCTACCGCTACTCGGTTAGCCCCTACCACTACTCGGTTAGCCCCTACCACTTCTCCTTTAGCCCCTACCGCTACTCGATTAGCCCCTACCGCTACTCAGGTAGCCCCTACCGCTACTCAGGTAGCCCCTACCGCTACTCTAGTAGCCCCTACCACTACTCGATTAGCCCCTACCACTTCTCCTTTAGCCCCTACCACTACTCGGTTAGCCCCTACCACTTCTCCTTTAGCCCCTACCGCTACTCGATTAGCCCCTACCGCTACTCAGGTAGCCCCTACCGCTACTCAGGTAGCCCCTACCGCTACTCTAGTAGCCCCTACCACTACTCGATTAGCCCCTACCACTTCTCCTTTAGCCCCTACCACTACTCGGTTAGCCCCTACCACTTCTCCTTTAGCCCCTACCGCTACTCGATTAGCCCCTACCGCAACTCGGTTAGCCCCTACCACTGCTCTGGTAGACCCTACCACTACTCTGGTAGACCCTACCACTACTCTAGTAGCCCCTACCACTACTCAGGTAGCCCCTACCACTGCTCAGGTAGCCCCTACCACTGCTCTGGTAACCCGTACAACTGCTCAGGTAGCCCCTACCGCTACTCGGGTAGCCCCTACCACTGCTCAGGTAGCCCCTACCACTGCTCAGGTAGCCCCTACCGCTACTCGGTTAGCCCCTACCGCTACTCGGTTAGCCCCTACCGCTACTCGAGTAGCCCCTACCACTACTCAGGTAGCCCCTACCACTGCTCAGGTAGCCCCTACCACTGCTCAGGTAGCCCCTACCACTGCTCAGGTAGCCCCTACCACTGCTCAGGTAGCCCCTACCACTGCGCTGGTAGCCCCTAACACTGCTCTGGTAGCCCCTACCATTGCTCAGGTAGCCCTTCCCATTGCCCTATAGCCCCGCCCACTACTCGGGTAGCTCCACCCTTGGCCTGCGTCACGAGTGGAGCACGACGCTTGGAACGTCTCTTGACACCGGTCAGGCCGCTGGGTGGATTTGCACGAGATCCTCGTTAGCGTTCGGTCTCATGTGATGAAGCTGGAGGGGGAAGGGCGCCTGCTGTGTCTGCACACACACCCGTGGGTTTTGATGTTGTGCAGAAGCATCGGCAGGAAATGGGGTTCTTGTGGAGGAATGTGCAACACCGTGCTCGTTGGGCGGCCAAGCCGGGGTTAAACATGTGGCTGTGTGTGCGCGTACGTCAGTGTGGCTGTAGCTGTGAGATGTGGTGCCCCGGAACGCCTCGTGTTGTTTGTTCATTTGTCCGTCTGTGTGTGAGCAATCGTGTGTGGGGAGCGGTGGTGCAGCGGTTAGCGCGCTGCAAACCCGGCGACCCGAGTTAAGATTTCCGCTCACGGCCAACACCAGTGACGATTATTTTAACCGGTGCTGTGCCTCCCCTAGGTCGACTCAGCCTCAAATGAGTACCTGGTGCGATGTGTAAACATTGCTACTGGGGATACAAAGACGGCCGGGCGTGGTGTTGGTCACCCACGCCCTCGTGTGCCGTGTCGGCCTTCATATGTGCTACTCGTTAACAGCACTTTCCCCAGCAGTCTGTTAAAAGGCTACACGGGGGATCTTTGTCTTGTGTATTCGTGTGTGTGTGTGTGTGCAAACGTGCGAGCCGTTTGTGAGCTGGCCAGTGGCGTTGTCGCATCCGCTCATTCAGTCAACAAAACCCAGGGCTTAATTTCTCATTCGCACATTTTGTGGGTTCCTGCCAGTTGGCTACAGCATTGACGTGTGACAAGACGCAGCCATGGCCAGTAGAGCGAGAGGTACACTGGGTGTGGTGTGCCAGGTGAGTATGCACGTTCTTGGTTTCCAGCCCCGTGGCTGCGATGAGCTCGGGCCACCGAACTCCGGCCGGGGACGGTAACGCTGTGCGGGACTCTCGATGCGCGTCCCGAACGGGCGACGATTTTCGCTCGGTACGTTAGCATTTTGTAAATCTCTTTCTTGTAAACACTTTGTCAATTTGTTTTGTACTATTAAACACTCAACATTTTCGAAGGTGGCAATTTCAAATTTCAGGGGCGACTCTTCACCATCCTATTTACCAGGGGAGATAAAATTATTTGGAGCCGCCAGCGGAGCTGTGCACCACCCCCTGCTCGTTTGAGCCAGGAGGAAGCCAGAGGCTGTGGAACACTGCGAAGCTCGCGAGCGTGTCCACGTCGTGTCTTGTCATCTGAGCGTGTCCACGCGTCTTGTCATCTGAGCATGTCCACGTGTCTTGTCATCTGAGCGTGTCCACGTTGTGTCTTGTCCTCTGAGCGTGTCCCCGCGTCTCGGCCCGAGTGTGTCCCCGCGTCTCGTCACCCGAGTGTGTCTGCGCATCTCGTCCCCCGAGCGTGTCCCCACGTCTCATCCCCCCAGTGTGTCCCTGCGTCTCATCTCACGAGAGTGTCCCCGCGTCTCATCCCCCGAGCGTGTCCCCGCGTCTCGTCTCCCGAGCGTGTCCCCGTGTCTCGTCTCCCGAGCGTGTCCCCGCGTCTCGTCTCCCGAGCGTGCTAATGATACTTGCATTGTCTTTGAAACGGATTGGCCTACACTAGACTTACAGCAGCCTTCTTCATGGCCTAGTCTCTCCACCCATCAGGTGGTTCACGCTTGAGAGCAGAAGGAGACGGGGATATGGTTCGCCCCTCGCGAGCGCTCTGTTGGTGGACCTTGCCCCCGATATGAACCGCTACGAGTGCCCATCGTGTGCCATCGCTTGCACCGGGCACCCGTGCCAAATACCCTATGCCACACCGGTGCCTGTAGCATTATGATGGTGATTGTGGTGGTGGTGATTGTTCTTGGCCGATGGAGGCAACGCTTATGCCGGTTCACGACAATTGTGCCCTTCCCGCAGGAGAAGCTGCTCCTGTCCATCCTCCCCAAGCACATCGCTGACGAGATGCTCAAGGACATGAAAAAGGACAAGAAGTTGAAGGAGCAGCAGCAGTTCAACACCATGTACATGTACCGGCACGAGAACGTCAGGTACGGACGCACGCTGCTTCATCGCATCACGACCTACTCTTTCGCTGCTCGCTAGGATTGTGACCGTGCGGTCACCCCACCTCCACCCATACGCCGATTAGCACGGTTGGCTATGGATGGTGCGAAAGAAGTTCAACGTACACACACACACGTGTACCCCTACTGCACGCGCTCACTCACTGCCTCAAACCCTACCCCTCTTTCCACAATCCCCCATCACCACCCCATGCCAGCCCAACCCTGTGTGTGTCCGGAGGAAGGGGCGAGGTCTACACAGAGGGAGTCAGGCCTAAATTGAAAGGTGCAGGAGCCGAAACAGAGGAAAAAAGCCTCATTAGGGAGGGGTGGGGCCTAATCAGGAAGGGGTGAGGCTAAATAGTAAGGGGGTGGGGCATTAAAAGGAAGGAGTGGGGCCTACAGACGCAGCAGGCAGCAGCACAGTGCCGCAGATACAGCCGGCTGACCGGCTATCCAAGATTATTGTGGCACTCTCTTAATACACAGGAAAGCCTCACGGGGCCTCAAGTCTCTTATGCAGAAGGTTCCTGCCAATTTTTTGTTTGCAAGAGAGGGCCATGTTGCAGCCATGTGTAATCCCATTGAAACATTTTCGCAGATAACGTTTCGGTTGACATTGCACGTGGGTTTTTTTTAGCTATGGGAGAGAGCCAGAGAACCCGGTTGAAACCCATGCGAGCAGGGATGACTGAAACAACAATAGCAATTTTGATTTAAAGCTTTCGTGACTGCAGGGATTCATATTCTTGGTTCTTTCGGTAAAGTCACGTAGAAGGGAAACAATAAAATAATAAAACTATAAAACAATAAAATTCTCACGACGTTTCGACTGCAACACAAGCAATCATCATCAGGTGTGAACCACCGAAAGAACCAAGAATAACAATAGCAATGTTGGTCCTCAACAAACACGGACTGCACGATGAATGAGAAGGTGGCATGAATAAGAGAGAAAGCGAGAGCGGGTGGCCGTGAGTGGCGAGGAATTCTCCAGGGATTCGGCACCCCTCGCACACACACACAGCCCCAACACGAACGCCTGTCGCTCACCACCATCCGTGGCCGTCCCCGCGCGTCGACCTGAGTGAGACGAGGGTTAGGGCTGGGGGATGTCACGCTGACCGAGATCTCCCACGCGCGGCAGCGAAAGTGTAATTCCCGAGGCTAATTGCTTCGGAAGAAAACACAGTTGCTGCGTCGTTTGTCAGAATGCACTCGGGCCCTGTGATTGCCCAATCATTTTGTGCCTCCATTCCGCTTACCAGTGTGGTGGACAGGAAGGGAGAGAGAGCGGTTTGTTGTTGTTTGTTTGAGCGACGGGGGGTCGGGGGTCGACGGAGAGAGAGAGAGGAGGGGGGCGCGACGGCGCGGGGAGAGAGGAAAGCCGACGGCGGGCGAATCCCAGCGTCGGCGCCCGCGTCGCGTGCCGCAGGTCAATCTGAAACCTTCACGGCCCCGCCGCGCCACCGAGTCAAGGAAGCGCCCGCCACGTGCACCGACCTCACACCGCGGGGAGGCGGCGCGCCGCCATCCCGGGGAACGGCCGCGGGAGTCGGCGCCAGAGCCGCGGCCGTGCCCACCTCTCGCCCGGCGGTGCGTGCGGCCTTCGCGTCTGTCCGCTGCTGGGCGAGGGCCGGGCGAGGGTGGGGGGGCTGCCGGACCGTACGCTCGCCGCGGTGGCCGGTGCCGAATGGTGGAAAGTGGAGAGCGCCGACGTGGGAGCGTAGAGAGTGCGGGGGGGGGCAATGGAGGGTGTTGCCGCACTGCTCGAGGCTGCCCACCGCATAGCCCCTCAGCAGCAGCCGATAGCAACCTGGACGTGTGTGTGTGCGGCGTGTGTGATGGTGTGTGTGATGGTGTGTGGGGGGTGTATGTGTGTGCGGGGTGTATGTGTGTGCGGGGTGTATGTGTGTGCGGGGTGTATGTGTGTGCGGGGTGTGTGTGTGCGGCATGTGTGATGGTGTGTGCGGGGTGTATGTGTGTGCGGGGTGTATGTGTGTGCGGGGTGTATGTGTGTGCGGGGTGTATGTGTGTGCGGGGTGTGTGTGTGCAGGGTGTGTGACGGTGTGTGCGGGGTGTGTGACTGTGTGTGCGGGGTGTATGTGTGTGCAGGGTGTGTGTGTGTGCGGCGTGTGTGATGGTGTGTGCGGGGTGTATGTGTGTGCGGGGTGTATGTGTGTGCGGGGTGTATGTGTGTGCGGGGTGTGTGTGTGCAGGGTGTGTGACGGTGTGTGCGGGGTGTATGTGTGTGCGGGGTGTATGTGTGTGCAGGGTGTATGTGTGTGCGGGGTGTGTGTGTGCGGCGTGTGTGATGGTGTGTGCGGGGTGTATGTGTGTGCGGGGTGTATGTGTGTGCAGGGTGTATGTGTGTGCAGGGTGTATGTGTGTGCGGGGTGTGTGTGTGCGGGGTGTATGTGTGTGCGGGGTGTGTGTGTGCAGGGTGTGCGCGGAGTGTGTGTGTGCGGGGTGCGTGTGTGTGCGGCGTGTGTGTGCAGGGTGTGTGACGGTGTGTGCGGGGGTGTATGTGTGTGTTTGCGGGGTGTGTGTTTGCGGGGTGTGCATGTGCGGGGTGTGTGTGTGCGGGGTGTATGTGTGTGTGAGGTGTATGTGTGTGTTTACAGGGTGTGTGTGTGTGTGTTTGCAGGGTGTGTGTGTGCGGGGTGTGTGTGCGCGGGGTGTGTGTGTGCGGGGTGTGTATGTGTGCAGGGTGTGTGATGGTGTATGTGTGTGTGTGCAGGGTGTGTGACGGTGTACAGTAAGGGAAAAAAGTATTTGATCCCCTGCTGATTTTGTACATTTGCCCACTGACAAAGAAATGATCAGTCTATAAATTTAATGGTAGGTTTATTTGAACAGTGAAAGATGGAATAACAACTATAAAATCCAGAAAATCGCATGTCAAAAATGTTATAAATTGATTTGCATTTTAATGAGGGAAATAAGTATTTGACCCCCTCTCAATCGGAAAGATTTCTGGCTCCCAGGTGTCTTTTATACAGGTAACGAGCTGAGATTAGGAGCACACTCTTAAAGGGAGTGCCCCCAATCTCAGCGTGTTACCTGTATAAAAGACACCTGTCCACCGAAACAATCAATCAATCAGATTCCAAACTCTCCACCATGGCCAAGACCAAAGAGCTATCCAAGGATGTCAGAGACAAGATTGTAGACCTACACAAGGCTGGAATGGGCTACAAGACCATTGCCAAGCAGCTTGGTGAGAAGGTGACAACAGTTGGTGTGATTATTCGCAAATGGAAGAAACACAAGAGAACTGTCAATCTCCCTCGGTCTGGGGCTCCATGCAAGATCTCACCTCGTGGAGTTGCAATGATCATGAGAACGGTGAGGAATCAACCCAGAACTACACGGGAAGATCTTGTCAATGATCTCAAGGCAGCTGGGACCATAGTCACCAAGAAAACAATTGGTAACACACTACGCCGTGAAGGACTGAAATCCTGCAGCGCCTGCAAGGTCCCCCTGCTCAAGAAAGCACATATACATGCCCGTCTGAAGTTTGCCAATGAACATCTGAATGATTCAGGGGACAACTGGGTGAAAGTGTTGTGGTCAGATAAGACCAAAATGGAGCTCTTTGGCATAAACTCAACTCGCCGTGTTTGGAGGAGGAATGCTGCCTATGACCCCAAGAACACCATCCCCACTGTCAAATATGGAGGTGGAAACATTATGCTTTGGGGGTGTTTTTCTGCTAAGGGGACAGGACAACTTCACCGCATCAAAGGGACGATGGACGGGGCCATGTACCATCAAATCTTGGGTGAGAACCTCCTTCACTCAGCCAGGGCATTGAAAATGGGTCGTGGATGGGTATTCCAGCATGACAATGACCCAAAACACACGGCCAAGGCAACAAAGGAGTGGCTCAAGAAGAAGCATGTTAAGGTCCTGGAGTGGCCTAGCCAGTCTCCAGACCTTAATCCCATAGAAAATCTGTGGAGGGAGCTGAAGGTTCGAGTTGCCAAACGTCAGCCTCGAAACTTTAATGACTTGAGAAGATCTGCAAAGAGGATTAGGACAAAATCCCTCCTGAGATGTGTGCAAACCTGGTGGCCAACTACAAGAAACGTCTGACCTCTGATTGCCAACAAGGGTTTTGCCACCAAGTACTAAGTCATGTTTTGCAGAGGCGTCAAATACTTATTTCCCTCATTAAAATGCAAATCAATTTATAACATTTTTGACATGCATTTTTCTGGATTTTGTTGTTGTTATTCTGTCTCTCACTGTTCAAATAAACCTACCATTAAAATTACAGACTGATCATTTCTTTGTCAGTGGGCAAACGTACAAAATCAGCAGGGGATCAAATACTTTTTTTCCCTCACTGTATGTGTGTGTGTACGGGGTGTATGTGTGGAGTGTGTGTGTGCGGGGTGTGTGTGTGTGCAGGGTGTGTGACGGTGTGTGTGGGGTGTGTGTGTGGTAGCTGTAGTGTAGCGGTTAGCCCGCTGCGCAAGAACCTGGCGACCTGTATTCGATTCCCGCTCACGGCCAACACCCAGTGACGATTATCTGAACCGGTCCTGGACCCATCCTAGGTCGACTCAGCCTGAAGTGAGTACCTGGTGCGGTGTGTAAACATCGTCACTTGGGAGACAAAGGCGGCCGGGCGTGGTGTTGGCCACCCACCCACTCGTGTGCCATGCCGGCCTTCATAGGTGCTTGCTAACAGCACTTGCCCCTAAAGTCTGTTAAGACTATACGGGGGATCTTTGTCTTGTCTTTTGGTGTGCGCGAGGTGTGTGCGGGCGGGGTGTGTGTGTTTGTTTGGGTTGTGTGTGTGTGGGGTGTGTGTGAGCTCATGTGTTTGTATTGTGCGTGCGCACATGTTAGTCTATGGAGTCTATTAAACCCATGGCCGCTGAGTCTATCCCCTGACCTCCTGCCAGCGAGCCCTCCACATTTCACGTGATAGCCTCAAAGTGCACCGGGCCTGCAGAATTTTACTCTGAGAC